GGTGAGAATCGTGATTGAGTAGAATTTTCGGGCGGAGTTCGAGATAGCAAAAGCCGGCGAGGAATAATTTTGGTCAACAATTTGCTTTCCCAAATTAGAAGGAACAAGAAAAGACGATTTTGCCCCTTCCAATTCAGTTTAAATCTTGACTTAATATTTTTCGATCACAATTCGCTGGTAATTTGGCCGGTGTGACCAAAATTGATAAAAATTGCATAGTCAAGCTACTAAATTAACATTTTTGAAAGTCAATTATTGTAATTAACACAACTTCAATAGTCAGTGGGCCAAAATTGAAATTTTCTCATGGGAAAATAACACTTTTTTCTCCTGAGTTATATACTTATAGCACTTTTCTCCTCTGAATTATTCAAGTGGTTGTTTTTCTCTCTGAAATGTTAAATGAACATATTTACCTTTAAAATAAATATTTCATTTATTTTTCTTCTCAAACAAATTATGACCACAATTTGGTTCAAATCAAACAGACACTATAGCAACCAAATCGAAATATTTCAATTACAATTTAGAATCGAAACCCGATATTTAGAGCTTATTAAAATCGCGAGCCGAAACGGTCGGTTCATGTTTCGAACTGAAAAAAAATACATTTATTGTTGAATTTAGACTATTTTAAAATAAAAAATAAAATTTTAAAATAAAGACGGTTCAAAATCGCGAATCGGATCCGGAACCTCCAGTTCACGGTTCAGGATCCATTTTTTTCAGTCACGATTTTAATAAACGGAAATCTAAATATTGGGTCCGAAAAAATTTCGATTTGATTGCTATAGTGTCCGATTCAGTTCAAACCGAATCGTGATCATCCCTACGTATAAGTAATAATTTGTTGAAGAAGATAAATAAATAAAATATTCATTTTAAGGGTAAAAATGTCCATTTAATATATCAGGTAGAAAAATAGTCATATTTATAATAATTGAAAGTGCAAATATGAATACATGAATAACTCATGGGAAAAAAGTGCTATAAGCATATAACTCGGGGTCATTTTTTCTCAATTTTATTCTACCTACCCAAAATCGGATATATTTGGTAAACAATGAATTATTTTTATGCATTTAATTCATTTTAATGCTTTTATTTGATAAATTCTTTAAATAGATGTTTGGTAAATAGATATTATTTCCTTTGAAAGACAAATTGTTCGCCTTCCCATATTTCCAAATTAAAATAGCTAGTATTAGTAATGTATTAATGGTGTTCAAAGAATTAGAAAGTCCAAATTCAGACAATTAATGCTGTCTATTTTGTATTGGACAATTATTATCATGCCATATTGATAATGCATCTATCCAAAATTGTATTAATAAATTACTATTATAATGTCGTATTCATGATAAATTTATCAAAAATTACATTCAAAGATTTTTGTGTTAAAAACGACGCTAAAACATGTATGCATCACCATGTCAGACTAGTGTTTTTCATGCCAAAAAAAAAAAAAAAAAAAAAAAGAAACTAAAATTAAACAATCACTCAATTCATGAGCCAAAATGAAACAAAAATTAAAAACAATGATAGATGCACACAAAATTTTACTCAAAAAATGTAATATCATTTTTCATTAAAGTAGGCTAATCCACTAATAATGAAATCACTTGAATATGTAAATATTATTAACTCTATTACATTGTAATATTATCTGTTCAGACATACGACATACTTTCTCAACCTATTGAAGCACAAAAAGTCAAAAACATCTCCACTGAGCCTCGATTGTATGACCTCCCATATAAGAGAGTCACTACATGTCATCTGAGCACAATTGTGTTTTGCTTCACCTATATATTAGTTACATATACATTGGATTATCACATAAGAGTTAATTCCAGCAATGGTCCCCCGAGTATGTTGATTTTCCACATTTAGTCTCCGTCTTTTAATTTGGACAATTTAACCATCTGACTATTAAATTTTTTCCAATTGAGGTCCTTCCGTCAAGTGCCGGTTAAGTGGGTGTTAATTAGAGGGATAAAATTGTCTTTTCCTTGCCCAGCGTATAAATCTTCTTCTCTTAGCGTCCCGCAGACCACGAACTTCGAAACTCGTCGCCACCACCGTCGCCTGCGTCGTCGCTGCCATGATGCTCGCTCCATTGAAGTTGCCTTGCATATTCGGAGGGTGAGGAGTCGTTCTTCTTCCATTGAAGCCAAGACCGAGAGATCCGATGTCAGTACTCGATTCAATTACGGCAATAATGCTGGCGGCAGTAGCTGTATTCCAGCTATCCCGAAGCTTCGAAGACCATCTCAACCCAGCTCCGAGATTTTGTACTTGGGAACTATGGTGAATTCCCGTGGAGGCATTGAACCGCACAATCTGTAAAACTCTCCCAGCACCACCGCCACCACCACTAGTGCCGCAAATTCGAGAAAAATGGAGTCGCCGGAGCTGCAACCCCTGTCGCCGCTTCGTGGGCGGAACTTGAGACAAAATTATGAGAATGCCGAGCCCGGGTCTGGTAGGGACGAAGACGATGAAGAGGAATTTTATTCTCCCAGAGAATCGTTGGGCGGTAGAGAGAGCCCAATCGGAACTGGATCTGTTTCCGTGTAAGCGTATTGACAGAATGCATGCTTAAAATTATAGAGAATTTCAGTCCTATCAACACTGTAATCCTCTCCACAACACTCCTTGATCCTCTAATTTTCAACAGCAGCAACAAGGCTATCCTTTGGCACTCCAGTTACAAGTTTCAATACATGAGTGTTAGGTTCATTCCCATCATCAAGTGCAAAAAGATTAGAATTCTTTGCGATTACAGAGCTCTCGAAATCATCCGGTAGCCCTAGCTCTTTCCAAACCTTGAAAATAGCTCGGAGCGGCACTGTTTTAGTGAGCGACATTGATAAAACCCGGACCAGTCGCTCCACCGCAAGGGGAAGTGAGGCATTGATGGCTTGTGCCTCTAATCGGGCGATTTCTAGTGCGGTTTCAGTGAGCGCACAGTATGGCTGAGACTTGGCGGTGTGGTAGAATATGCGGAAGATGTGAGGATACCTGCGGAGGAAGGCGGTGGTGCCGCGGTTGAGGAAATCCACGGAGACGGGAGGCGGATTGGAGCGGCTAGCAAGGATGAGGTCTTGGATAGCGATGACTTTGAAGAAGTTTTTGTACTTCTCCATGAGCTTCTTGAATGTTATGTCTCTGGCTCTCGATGCTACATACTCGGCTGAGGTGGTTTTGCAACGGAGATGGACAGTTGCGTCGGCGGCGGAGGAGGAGCAAGAGGTAGGAGTTATAGATCTTTGCTCTCTCAGGATGCGAATTGCCATCGTCTAAGGGCTTAGTAAGTAAAAGTACCAAATTGCCCCGAAAATTAACGCTGACTTAACCAACAATTGACGGAAGGACCTCAATTGGAAAAAATTTAATAAACGGGTGGTTAAATTGTCCAAATTAAAAGTTTAAGACCAAATCTGGAAAATCATCATACTCGAGGGACCATTGCTGGAATTAACTCTATCACATAATGAATGTTAATTAAGAGGTGCCTGCATTTACATCCATTTTTAATTATAGCATCTTTTCACCTTTTTAATAAACAGTGAGATATAGATAGAAATATGAAAAGAAGAGTAATGGGAGAACAATAAGATTCGGATCCAATTAAGGAAGAGGTAATTACATTAGAATCTACATTAAGGTTACGTTCTATCTACAAACTTGGGATTGCATTTCAACCCATGCACCCTAATTCACTCATTTGTTTCAGGTTCAATTCCGTTCCAGTTCAGTCTATTCAAAACTAAAAACCACTCATTCGAAACTGGAATCGAACCGTGAGCATACTTGCTATAGAGTTCCCTCAACTCATAATGAATTATGCCCTTTCTTCTCTAATTCAAGTGCCTCTAGGAAATCTCCCTACCCCATCTGCAAACCCTAACCAATCCTCTCCCCCCACACACTAGTTTCATTATAGGAAATATCAAAGTATTATTTTAATTATACTATAGTTACGTACGTTATTGCATGAACTATGTTTTTAATTTCATTTTTATATACACAAGTTTCCTTATAACAACACTAAAGTATCATTTTAATTCTATTACAGTTTTATTTGACGATTATGATCTACACAACACTATGTATTATCCATTATATAACAACTGTAGTAATGTAGTATTGAGCATCCCATTGATATGTTTTTTTTTTTTTAATTTGTAGGCCCATGTTATACGAAAAGAAAAAGATTTTTTTTTTTAAATAATAAATATATGGGAAACTTCGGGGCATGCAAGTTGGGCATTTTTTGTTGTTTTGAAAAACTTTATTAGGGCAATCCCTATATAGAAGAAAGAGAAAGAAGAGAGAGGGGATAAATTCTGTTCTTGCAAATATGGGGTTCTTTGCAGAAAGTGGGACCCGCCAACAATTAATGCTAATTGCGTTTATTGCGTGAGTCACTGGTGCGCCCAGCTGGCTGGGTGCGTTTCAGGCGCAATTTACGACACTTTTTTTTTATTTTTGAAATTCGAATTTTATATTTTAATTTTTTTTTTCTTTCCTCTCTTCTTCTCTTTCCTAATAATAATTACAAAAACTCCTAAAAAATCACACCAAAATCCCCACTATTGAGGATGCCCGATTACAATTTTTATCTTTTGCCACGTCAAATTCTCTTTCTTTCAATTCATACCAAGAAGTTAGTTATCCACTTGCCCGCACGGGTTTAGCTTAATGATTTAGTGGGTAGTATTTGGGAGAAGAGACCAATGTTTGAACCTCGGCTTAGCAGTGTGAATTATGTTTAAAGTGGACAGATTCCTTGTGCGCACCCTCATTTGATCCTATCTGCTGAATCATTGAGTTACCATGATTTACATCCTACGGGCTGGGGATTCAACCAAGAAGCTAGTAATCCACTCAAAAACCTTTATTATATTGAAATAAACCATTAAACAATATATCAAATTAAAGAAATAATACATAAAATAAAATATTAGATAGTCTTGGATCTAGACATCTAGTCATCATATATAGATAAAATCCAGGTGATGATATGCTAGTTTCTTGGTGCGAGAAGAACGCCGCCTTAGTCCTCCCTCCTCCTCCTCCTCCTCCTCTTGCCTTTGCTGAATATTGTTTTCCTCCGCCGCTGCTGCTTGCGGCGGCTGTTGCGGCTGGATTGCCCTAACGGCGGAGCTCTCTTCTGCATTGTTAATGGCGGACACAAATCTCTTTCTCCATTCTCGCTTTACGGCATCGGAGATCAAGGTATCACCAATGGAAGGATTCCAGGCATCCCCTTGAGGATTAGCAAGTGCCCAATTCACTTTCGATGGAGGAGGGCTCTCCAAACACTCTTCTCTAGATGTCAAAATCTCCCCGCCGGGACGATTATTGGGTGAAATGAGTTCACTGGATTTGCGTCTGCGAGAAACCGTTTCTCCGTTCAGGTGCCTCTCCACGTCTCTCAGTGATCTGAACCTTCTTCCAGTCCCTGGTTCTAAGTAATACTGCATCAAGATTGATTTGAAAGTGTAAAATTGTACTCTCAAAAGTTTTAAGCTTAGGTAAGGATCGGAGGAGTTGAATAAGGATGGAGAAGAAAAACAAATTGATTTAACCTTGTCGGATTTGGAGCCATCGGACCGGGCGACTTCATCAACACCCCAATCGGCGGGTAGATTGAACGGTGGCGTTTGGAGAGGCGGCCGCGGTGGAAGCCGTGAGCTTGATGGTTTGAGGGAGGAGGAGCCGCTTGATTTTCCCATGCTCATAATTCAGCAAGGGGCGAGGGGGGGAGGGGGGAGTGGGGAAGGAGGTGTGTGTAGCGTGATAACAAGTTGGATGGAATAGATTATATATAAAAACAAAAAGTAACGTATTTCTTTTGAATCGTTGACCACGGGCACTAATGACAAAACTAAGAATGAGATACTTATACCTAAAAAAGGAATAAAAATAAATATTAAAATACAATCTAGCTAGCGGGTGTGTATAGCGTGACAGACAATTACAGACAAAAACAAAATGTAACGTACTTCTTTTGAATTGTTTACTATGGGCGATGAAAAAACTAAAGACAAGAGTGACATTTAAACAAGGAATAAAATTGGATGTTGAAACACAATTCAATTGTCTTCCAAGTGTGATCCATTATTTAGTACCTAAAAGGAATAAAATATAAGTACCATTTAATTGAGAATTTTGTAAATTTTAATTTATAATGGTAGGCCGGGTCCGAGGTGAGTAGGGAGTAGGGATAGTGGGGGATAGGTAGGGGTCTAATAGGTGAAAGTGAATAGGATGATAATCATGAGTAAATATTCATATATGTTTTTTTTTTTTTTTTTTTTTTTTTTTTCATTTGGATGGTTAATTAAAAATAATAATTTTTAGAAGTATTCAATTGTTTTAATAACCCTCTATTATAAATAAATAAATAAATAACCAGACTCAACATGAAAAAAATTTCCTTCCCGAGTATAAATGCATTTTGATAGATTTGTGAGTTAATACCTAAAATTGTCCTCGACTATAGTGATTTTTCTCAATTTCGTCCTAAATGACTTTGATGACCTAATATAGTCCCAGACTTTTGTGTTTCGCTCAATTTAGTCCTCATTTTGTTATTCTATCAAATTGGTGTTAAATAAAGGGACAATTCAATAATATCGATATTGACCTCTCTTTACTTTCAACCTACGAAGTGAGAAATCTCTCTTTCTTACACGAATTACACCCAGAGTTACTCTCAGACCTACGAATCAAATTTTTAGAAGTGATTCTGGGAGTAATTCGTAAAAAAAGAGGAATTTCGCACTCCACATGTCTATGAATAAAGAGATGTCAATATTAAAATTACTGAATTGTCTATTTATTTAACAACAAATGGACGGAATAACAAATGGGGACTAAATTGAGCAAAAACACAAAAGTCTGGGACGAAATTGAGTAAAAACACAAAACTCTAGGACTACATTAAGTCACCAAAGTCGTTTAGGACAAAATTGAGAAAAATCACTATAGTCGAAAACGATTTTGGGTATTAACTCATTTGTAAAACTACTACGGCAAATGAGATAAGTAAAGTATGAATGCACTTATTGTGTTCACATTTAAGCAGCAAACAAAGCATACTTGTAAATTTCAATACACATATTTTGAATTGCAAATGACTTTTACAATCTCCAAAATTTACATTAATTAATTTGAGATGAATTTAAAATTCAATGTCAGTATTTACACCAACTTTTACACTGGCTTCAACAGTATAAATAAGTCATCATCCACAGCCAATACTACAAAATTTGTTCCTACTACAAAATGGTTTGGATTGGGTTTCTTCAAATTGGCTCTTTTGGGCAAAGCTCCCTTCTTTCAATTACCCAGGGCTTGATTTCTCCATGCCAGCAATTCAGCAAGTCTGGATGTGTATAGCGTGATAAATAGTTTGTTCGAAGTAAATTATAAATGCAAAACGTAATGTATTGCTTTTGAACTGTTGACCACGGGCAATGATGACAAAACTAAGGATGAGATAGGTACCTAAAAAAGGAATAAAATTGGATGTTAAAATATAATCCAGAGCAAGTGGGGGTGTGTAGAGCGTGACAGACAGTTGCAGTAAGAGCATTCATAGTAGTATTAGTTTTTTGGTGGTTTTTATTAGTCCATGAAAGAAAGAGAATGAGGAGGAGAGATGAACCAAAGAAAAAAAAAACTGACAAGTGTTCAAAAAAAATATAAATTTAAACACAGTACATTTACGTGCCTAGCAGCGTGTGCATTGCATGTGCCAGCTTGGCGCGCACTAGGTGCGCGTTTTATCTTTTTTTTTTTTTTTTTTTTTTTTTTTTTTTTTTTTTTTTTTTTTTTTTTTTTTTTCTATATCTTCTAGCATCAACAATGGGCCCATAAAAATACAATATTTAAAGGAGTTAAACTAATTAACTACAAAAAAAAAAAAACAAAAAAAAAAAACAACTCCTCGGACACCAGTTAAAACCTTACTCTTGTTTTTTTTTTTGTTTTTTTTTTTTTGTTTTTGTTTTTGTTTTTTTTTTAATCTGCAAAATTTAAATAAAATGCATTGATGTGCATGCTCTAAATTACAAAAGCAAAACGTAACGTACTATTTTTGAACTGTTGACCACAGGCAATGATGATAAAACTAAAGATGAGATAGGTACATAAAAATGGAATAAAAATATATGTTAAAACATAATCTAGCTAGCGGGTGTGTATAGCGTGATAAACAATTACAGGAAATTACAAAAACGAAACGTAACGTACTTCTTGTAAATTCTTTACTGTGGGCGATGAGAAAACTAAGGATGAGAGTGGCATCTAAACAAGGAATAAAATTGGATGTAGAAACACAATTCATTTGTGTTCCAAGTGTGAACCATTATTTAGTACCTAAAAATGAATAAAATATAAGTACCATTAAATTAAGAATTTTGTGAATTTTAATTTATAATGGTAGGTCGGGTCCGAGGTGAGTAGGGAGTAGGGATAGTGGGAGATAGGTAGGGGTCTAGTAGGTGAAAGTGAATAGGATGATAATCATGAGTAAATATTCATATATGTTTTATTTATTTTTTCATTTGGATGATTAATTAAAAATAATAATTTTTAGTAGTATTCAAATATTTTAATTATCCGCTATTATAAATAATAATTAAAAAACAAAAAACAAAAAACCACAACCAACAGGAAATTGTTTTTCCGCCCAAGTATAAATGCATTTTGATAGATTTGTAAAACTATTACGGCAAATGAGATTAGTAAACTATGAATGCACTTATTGTGTTCACATTTACGGCAACAAACAAATCCAGCTTGCAAATTTCAATACACATGTTTTGAATTGCAAATGACTTTTACAATCTCCATGACTTACATTAATTATTTGATTAATTTGAGATGAATTTAAAATTCAATATCAGTATTTACACCAACTTTTACACCGGCATCAACAGTATATATAAGTCATCATCCACAAGCAATACTACAAAATTTGTTCATGCAACAAAATGGTTTGGATTGGGTTCCTTCAAATTGGCTTTTTTTTTTTTTTTTGGGCAAGCTCCATTCTTTCAATTACCCAGGGATTGATTTCTCCATGCCCAACAATTCAGCAAGTCGGATGTGTATAGCGTGATAAATAGTTTGTTCGAAGTAAATTATAAATGCAAAAGGTAATGTATTGCTTTTGAACTGTTGACCACGGACAGTGATGACAAAACTAAGGATGAGATAGGTATCTAAAAAAGGAATAAAATTGGATGTTAAAATATAATCCGGAGCAAGTGGGGATGTGTATAGCGTGACAGACAGTTGCAGTAAGAGCATCCATAGTAGTATTAGTTTTTTTGGTGGTATTTATTAGTCCATGAAAGAAAGAGAATGAGGAGGAGAGATGAACCAAAAAAAAAAAAAAAAAAAAAAAGCTGACAAAGTGTTCAGAAAAAATATAAATTTAAACACAGTACATTTACGTGCCTAGCAACGTGTGCATTGCATGTGCCGCTTGGCGCGCACTAGGTGCGCGTTTTATCTCTTTTTTTTTTTTTTTTTTTTTTTCTATATCTTCTAGCATCAACAAATGGGGCCCATAAAAATACAATATTTAAAGGAGTTAAACTAATTAACTACAAAAAAAAAAAAAAAAAAAAAAAACAACTCCTCGGACACCAGTTAAAACCCTACTCTTGTTTTTTTTTTTTTTTTTTAGTCTGCAAACTTTAAATAAAATGCATTGATGTGCATGCTCTAAATTACAAAAGCAAAACGTAACGTACTATTTTTGAACTGTTGACCACATGCAATGATGATAAAACTAAAGATGAGATAGGTACATAAAAACGGAATAAAAATATATGTTAAAACATAATCTAGCTATCGGGTGTGTATAGCGTGACAAACAATTACAGGAAATTACAAAAACGAAACGTAACGTACTTCTTCTGAATTGTTTACTATGGGCGATGAGAAAACTAAGGATGAGAGTGGCATCCAAACAAGGAATAAAATTGGATGTAGAAACACAATTCATTTGTGTTCCAAGTGTGAACCATTATTTAGTACCTAAAAATGAATAAAATATAAGTACCATTAAATTGAGAATTTTGTGAATTTTAATTTATAATGGTAGGTCGGGTCCGAGGTGAGTAGGGAGTAGGGATAGTGGGAGATAGGTAGGGGTCTAGTAGGTGAAAGTGAATAGGATGATAATCATGAGTAAATATTCATATATGTTTTATTTATTTTTTCATTTGGATGATTAATTAAAAATAATAATTTTTAGTAGTATTCAATTGTTTTAATTATCCTCTATTATAAATAATAATTAAAACAAAAAACAAAAAACCACAACCAACAGGAATTTTTTTTTCTGCCCAAGTATAAATGCATGTTGATAGATTTGTAAAACTATTACGGCAAATGAGATTAGTAAACTATGAATGCACTTATTGTGTTCACATTTACGGCAACAAACAAATCCAGCTTGCAAATTTCAATACACATGTTTTGAATTGCAAATGACTTTTACAATCTCCATGACTTACATTAATTATTTGATTAATTTGAGATGAATTTAAAATTCAATATCAGTATTTACACCAACTTTTACACCGGCATCAACAGTATATATAAGTCATCATCCACAAGCAATACTACAAAATTTGTTCATGCAACAAAATGGTTTGGATTGGGTTCCTTCAAATTGGCTTTTTTTTTTTTTTTTTGGGCAAGCTCCATTCTTTCAATTACCCAGGGATTGATTTCT